GCGTTTTCGTAGGAAAAAGGCCTAAGTATTATTCCAATTCATAATCTTACCACTGTTCCATATTTCATCTCGACTTCTTCAGCCGTTTTAACGTAAAGGCACAAATAAGAGCACAAATAAGATTCAAAGATTTGTGTCATCCTCTGTCTAACCCACGTGTTCCAACTGCATTGCACTAATTGCTATCGTAGGCGTACCAGCAGACCTGTCACCGTTCTACCTGTGACCTTTATGTTATTATGTCTATTCGGTTATTTGTGACTAATTGGAACAGGAGATGATGTGTAATTTATTTGCAGTCACTTTATCTGTTATTATTTTATTGAAACAAGGATGTGGCCTCAGAATGGATTTATTTAGCAATACTAAAATGTTGAGCTTTAATTCTAAAACTGATTACATTATTGATCGAGTGCTGCTTTTGTGTATGACGTCTCCAGTCCAAGCCAAAATTGTGAATGTTATCCGTAAAAAAGTATTTATTTATTTTTATTTATTTATTTAAAACCTTACCTAAAAACTATCATTACCGTTTTCTCCATTGCGATAGCTTAGGTCTAAAACTAAATATATGTACCTAATTACTAATTTAAACAAGATAAAACAAATTGAAAAAGAGAGCATACACAAACTTAATTAAACTTAACATTTATCCATAAAAAAAATTTAGAGTCAATAGAGTAAAAGATTTAGAATCAATAGGTATTTATAGTATAGCCCATAACGCCACTCTTTATTACAAAACATTAGTGAAAAATATGTTGCCGAGGAAACGCTTAAAGTGCAGAAATAGAAACGGGAAGGTTTTTAGTCAGTAAGAGTTTGACACCCCCTCCCGCCTCACCCAGGGAGAAGTCATTCGATGATTTTCCCCTCTTAAAAATGTGAAAAATATGTACGAAGATAGATTAAGTCCTCAAGGAATAACATATGTAAAACCAACACCAAGTTGTAATACATTTAACACGACCGTAATTCGACCCTTTAACAAAAAACAAAGCATCCTATCCTTAACCTTGGACCCAACATTAAAGGAACCGGATCTTCACTGACCCGCAGCTATTAGTTGAACCTCGAATAAAAAGTCAGACAAACAAAAAAACATTACGTAGGTACAATTGTATAGCATGATTTTGTTCAAATTAAAGATGCGTGCTCGTTAAATCTATACGTATATAAAAATAAACTAATTTGTCTGTATGTCTATCTGTAGTCTGATATTTTTGTACAAATAATTCAATGGTGGGTTGTAATTTGTTTATGTTGTTGTTTTTTTTTAAAAAAATACGTTGCCCCTCATTAGGATTTTCTCCTGTGTCGTGGGTGCGATTACAAACATATAAGTTCACATACACATGACACCCGGACTAGAAACAATAATCTGTGGATGATACAATGAGTTGTTCCGTGCGGGAACCGAACCCATGACATGTTACGCGGCAGCCAGCCACCGAGCCAACCGTGCGTGCATTAAAGGAAAAAAATCTGAACCGTTTTCTTCTAAGCTTTTATTTGATGTATTTTTGGTACAAACGAAGTCACGGGCGCTTCTAGTACTAATGATTTGTACATTTTGAACAAAATTAGTTATTAAGTAATCGTTATTTTAATAGGCTTCTATTACTTAATCGTTTCATAGTCAAACGTTATTATTATTAGTCGGTAGCGTGTTTAATGTCCATTTTGTTCATAAGTGATACTTAAAGTGGTAGGTTGCAGAAATTGTTTTCGTAAAAACGTTACAATGACTTACTGCATTCGACATTTGATGGAACAAAAAGTAAGAATAGGGTAGACTCCTAATTTTTACTTAAATGTCCGTAATATTTTTTATTTTCGTACAGAAACGAATACTTTCCACGATATATTGATTTGAAATGTCGCGTGACGTCACTTCTATGTACATTTAATACGTAGAAATGACGTATTAGCTCCCACTCCAAAACTTTGATTCATTATATCTAAGTATTATTTTATTATACGACAAAATTAAAAAAATACGTGTCTAATATCTTTTCATTACCTAACTTACGGACTAATTAGATTTTTAATTTTCATACCCTGTCATGATCCCAATTTTATTTATAAATAAATAAAGAAAAGACTTTATTTCACTCGCTAAAAAATAAGCGACATGAGTTATTCTATTAGTAAGAAATAATAGATATATGTTCATGTCCTTCAAGCTTCCTTGTGTGTACTGCTAAGGATTGGAATTCTTTGCCAGAGTCTGTATTTCCTGAAGGGTATAACCTGGGAGTTTTCAAGGCCCGAGTGAAAAGGTTGCTTATGGGACGACGTGCTCCATCGTAGACCGCATCATCGCTTACCACCAGGCGAGATAGTGGTCAAACGTCGGCCCAGGAAAAAAAAAATTGCGGTGAAATGGGACCAGTTCAAAATGTGCAAGACAGGGCTTTAAATCATAATTTTTATTCAAACCTTTTGAAGAGTTTGGGGTAAACCTAGTATTACAAACAAGGATCACATGTATCTACAATAATAGAGAAGATGATTTATGTTAAAATTAAAAAGCATCGCCTACAAATTCACTTCAAAGCTGGAGACAATTTCAAAATCAAACACCAAAGTCATAACTACAGGACGCAGTGAAAGGCTAAACGTGGGATACAAAGTCACGCCCCAGCTCACAGGTGGCGCTGCAATCGTTCTCACACACGACCGCTGTTTATAATAAACGTGTAAGTTTTCTCACGATAACACATCAGTAATGCGACGATCAATTTATTGTTTGCTTTATTTAGAACAATAGATCTATTGCTAAATGTTCTAGGGTATCATTTTGTAGCAATATCCTCTGATCTAACGCGTGCTTTTGTTAATATTCATATGCAGCCTCTGTGGTGGAATTTCACACGCAATTTGCTAGCTTTGTTTGTTTATGATGATGATGAATAATATAATGAATAATATAATAGTCTGTATAAAAATAGAAAAGAAGGGGAAATGAGAAAAAAGAAATTAAAGATGAAAAATAAGGTGTTTTTATCTAAAGAGTTTTTACCTATAAAACATCTGCGTCACTTAATAAAACTGTGCAATTAAATATTACAGTCACCAATGATATTTTCGTACTAATACGGCCTTCAAACCTTAAAGAATCTACGACTTTTGGAGAGACCGGCGAAGCAATTGAAACTTCTCTGATGCTGCGGTGCCCATAGGTTTCTAAACATTTGCTCGTTTGCCCTATATTATTTGTACGTAAAACTATTATTACTGTAGCAATATTTCAGGATCTAAGAACTAGATAACAAAAACATAACATCACGCCTTTTATACCCGAAGGGGTAGGCAGAGGCGCACATTATGCCACTGTACAATGTAACACCCACTTTTCACTATTTATGTTATGAGCCTATTGCCATATACCGGGCACAATTCCAGACTCCTTGGTACTACTGAGGTATTTTAAAAACCCTGTAATACTTTGCCCGACCCGGGAATCGAACCCGAGACCCCTTGCCCGGCAGTCACACTTGCGACCACTCGGCCAACGAGGCAGTCTGAACTAGATAACATTGCTTATAATTAAAGAAAGTTTCATTGACGAAAAGTAATAAAAGAAAATTGCCTTTTATTATCATCTAAACATTTAAGCAAAATGCAATAAAAACAATATTTTTTCGTAACAATTAATAGACGAGAAACATGTGAAGCTTTTTTAACCAAGATTTGAATACAATGAATCACGCCATCTGTCCTCGGATTGCAGCACGAATCTACTTCGTGTACTTATAAGCCAAGCTGAGAACGAGTATTCGTTTAACTCGTTCAAGCGTAGATGGAGCTTTTAGCCCTTTACTACACTACTAAAGTGATGATTAAACTGAAGTTAAAATTCTGTAACAGGAAATGTAGGAACTTAATCGTTTTATTCTTAAAGCGACACAAGATATCGTCACGCTCCTATTTACCAAAGGGTATAAATTATGCAATGTAACATCCATTTTTCATCAACTATGTTATGATATGCGTCTCGTCTATATAACATCACGCCTTTTATACTCGAAGGGGTAGGCAGAGGTACACATTATGCCATTCTACAATCTAACACCCACTTTTCACTATTTATGTTATGAGTCCCGTGTAATAGGGGGTGAGCCTATTGCCATATACCGGGCACAAATCCAAACTCCGTGCTATTACTAAGATTTGTTATAAAAACCCAGTAATACTTTGCCCGACCCGGGAATCGAACCCGATACCCCTTGCCGAGTCGCACTTGCGACCACTCGGCCAACGAAGCAGCTAGCGTCTCGTCTAATAGGGAGTAATGTAATATAAGCCTATTGAAGTGGTTAGTCATTGGTAAATAGTATTAAATAGTATTCATATTTGCATTTAAAATTTAATTGCACCATCCAGCATACTAAAAGAATCTTCATTAAAAAGGATCCATTTATTATTTAATCGTGACTAGATTTCAGTTCAATACATATGGTTTATGTAATTTGAATGTTCTTTCTAAGTAAATTAAATACATTTTTAATGTATGCATTGGGTATGTTGTATAAACAGTGTGTGGGTAAAATGGTGATCTAGATAATTTTGGTCTTGACATTTGGAATGGAGTAATTACGTACTTATATGTGAAGTAACCGTAATAATATAGGAAGCTATAAGACGATCCCCTTGAATGAGTTTGATGATTAATGTTCTAATTTAAATTCTGTTTGGACCATTTTACTATTTTTTGTTGACCTTTTTTGACTGTACTCTTTGCAAATTATTGTTGAAGTATTTTTCAATTTTCAAAATACTTATAAATTTAAACAACTACAAATGACTTGCTGACTGGTATTTCTCTCAAAATGTACCTACTTTTAAGTGTTTATTTTATTCCGCTGTGAATCAAAAAATTTATTAGTTAGTAAATAATAAAATAAAAACCAAAAGCTAAATAAAATAAATCTCTTTATTAATTTTTAACATTGCTCATTTAAAATAACAGAATAAATATCTTCGTAGTTAGTCAATCATTTGTAATGGTAACCAGTTTTAGGATCAAACCTCTGAGGTTGTTTGGGACCGCTAAAATCTTCGCCGATGACCCTGGGCTGTTCTCCAGGGTATGAAGTAGAAGGTTGATTGCCCCCAAAATTGGGTCCATTATAAGACCCTATTGGGCCTTGAGTTGGGTAAGTAAACCCTGTATTAGATCCCTGATTTGTTTGTATTGGTCTTCCGAACCCATCAACAGATCCACCTACATACAAGTCTTCTGTATTCTGGAATACAGGACGATAGGTGGTTGACCCCTGAGATGGAATGGTAGCTCCAGTTGGGTTGTAAGGAGCGGGAGTTGTTCCAATTGTTGATGGTGAGTTAGTAGACGAATAATTAGGCCTGGAAGGTCCATATTCATATCCAGTCGTATCTTTATAAGTAATAGGTGATCCTGGGTAAGTAGTTTTGCTTCCTGGAGTAGAAGACATTATAGTAGTGGAATAGCCAGGAGTGGATGGTTGATTTTGGAAATTACCTTGATGATCCTGTAGCGGTGATGTGGTAGAACCTTGGTAAGATGGAATAAAGTTGTCTTGTCTTCCTCCAATAGAAGGTTTTAATGTAGTACTTGGAAACTCTCCAGGACCTTGGAAAGTAGTTTGGTATGTACCAGTTGGTGAAGTTGGGGAGACTCTAGAACTGTCCGTTGGAGTGAAAAATCCAGCATCGTGACCAAATGAAGGATTTCCTGATTTGGGTGGTCCATAGTGATAACCAGTATGGAAGACGTTATCTTGAGTAGGTACAGGAGATCCTGTAGGTCCTACTGGAAATTGGACTCCAGATCCTGGTTGATATCCAGAAATTGGCGAACTTGATGTTGTCGAGTAACTTTGAGAAGGTCTGAAAGTAGACGTATAGTAGTTCTGAGGTTTTGATACAGCAGGGGTGCCAGATGTTGAGCCAAGACCCGGGGTATATCGAGAAGTTGGATAACCAGATACTACATTACTATCAAAGTATTTGGAATGGGGGCCAGTTGATTGATATTTATAGTTTGGTGCCGTTTGACCTAAAGATGACTGTGTGACAGGGGTCCCAACAGCCGTTGTTGCTTCAAAATTAGGGCTTGATGGTCTACGACCGTCAAGTTTTGTATTTTGAGGAGATTCAGTAGTTCCAAATCGAGAATGGTGTGTCGGTGTAGAAGTAGTTGGGCCATACGTATATCCTGGAGCTACAGCTTCTGTATTTCCAGTCTTATGACCAGGTCGTGACGGCTGCTTTTGACTAATTCCTGATTTTCGATCATTCTGACCATATTGAGGTCTTGAACCCTTTCGAGTTGTTTCGTACGGTCGAGTGATACCAGATTTTTCAACAGGAATTTTTTCAGAACTATTTCTCTCGTCATCAATATCTAGATCAGTGGCATAGTCATCGTCCTTATAATCAGTGTATGCATTTTCAGAGGGTGATGTTACACCTTTAGGTGTGAAAGGCTTTCTTGTTGTTGATGGACTGGCTTTTTCATTTTGTTCGTATACGTTCGGGGTCATAAAAGGTTTCCGAGTGGTTCCTTCAATATATTCAGTATTACGCTGATCGGGTTTTATTGTTGTAGGTATTTCTTGAGTTCTAAAACGAGTTGGAAATGTATTTTGTTCAAATGTTGTACTTGGTTGTTGGTAATGATAGCCAGAGCCTTGTTGAGTTGTTTGTTGTTGTGAACTTGGTTGCTTAGCAGCGTTTTCGATGTATTCTGAAATTGAAGGTGTCTTGGCATTTTCTTGAACGTCATTTTGTCCTGGTAAGTTTACATTTTCATTTTGGTTGTTTGAACTCGGTCTACGGGTACCTTTGATTCGTTTAGTTAATGTTTGTTTTTTACCTCCAACTATAGGAGCTCCTGTGATACTATCATATCCCAAATCTTTATTGTCATCATATTCATTAAATGCTCCAGGTTTACTAGAAACAATTGTTTGACTGTCGTTGTCCACGAAACCGTCACTTTCAGTTTTTGGGTAGTTAGAAGTCGTGACATCTACATTAGCTCCAGGATATTTCGTCACTAAAACATCCTTTCCACCATCAGATATTGGGCGACGACTTGAAAAACCTTGATTGTTAATAGTTGAATCTTTATTATCAATTTCATCCTCAGCATCGTTGAAAACTATATTATTTCCATTAGATACAGGACTACCACTAGCAGTTCCTTGTTTATTCTGATTGTTACCTCGATTGAATGGTCCTTGTTTTTCAACTGGCTTACCATGTTCATGAAAATCTTGTATTGGTTTTCCAGAATTTTCTGAAATTCTTTTGATTTCTTGGTCAACAACGCCATTTTCGTTAATACCTTCATTGGATGGACGTTTTACTGTCAAGCTATTATCGGAACCTTTCTTAGCCCCACTAACTAGAACGGTATCATCAAACTGACTTTGTGAAATACCTTCATCATATTCTACGTCTTTTATTCCAGTAATAGGTTTTATCAAACCAAATGTTTTCTGGCCCTGGTTTTGTGGGCGACGTTGTTTTGATATTCCTTGGTATTTGTCATCACCATACTTAAATTCATCGTACGACCCTGTAAAGAAAACATAATTTAAGTTGTAAGTTTGAACATGAAAGAAATAAAAAGCAAAATTTTGTATAATTTCACAACAACAGACAATTGTTTCGCACTAAAATCCTAATCTAAAATACTAATAAAATTTGTCTTATTGGATTTGCATATTAGTGCATTAGTTTTACGAATAAATTGTATAATTAGTGATCGCCTAAGATCTGCGATAACATCTTTGTATTACAATTGATTACAGATAATATCATCCATCAAATTCTCACGAGAAATAATGTTTCTTAGTTTCATAAAAGTAATTAGTTTTAAAAACTCACCATCATCTACTATTCCAGCTGCTTCATCTTTCGCAGCTTGCTCGATAACTCTCTGGATAGCTTCAGGAATAGGTGGTGGAGTTGGTAGATGATCACCGCGAGGTTGGAATCCATTCTCATCAGCAGTATAATAAACGCTGTACAACTTTCCATCATCACCTATGTAAGAATACGATCCTTGTGCCTTTGTTCCATTATCAACAATGCCACTTTCATCAGCATGAATTCCATTGGAAGTGTCAAAGCTGTAGGAGTAACCATTTGGAGTACGAACATTTTCATAGTTGAGAATCACTGCGTTTCTATCAGCTTCAGCTTGAGGTCTTTCTGGGCGATACACTGGTCTGACAGAAGAATATCCAGAAGTAGAAGACGGGATTGCTGGAAATGGAGTAGTGTTGGTAATACTGTTGTAAGATGGGGAAGACCCTTGTCCTCGTGGTCCTGATACATTTGGGTGTTCAGAAGAATACTGCGATATACCACCAGTATTAAAAGGTCCCTGGTTTTGGTACGACGTTTGAGTAGGTTGAGGTTCTCCTACGTTTATTAGCTGACCAGTGTAAGTACCCTGAGTAAGTGGTCCTTGAGATCCATCATAGTTAACGCCATATTGATTGACACCCGATTGAGAATTAATTGGGGAGACAGTTGATGGTACCAATCCCTGGTTAGTTGCATCTTGACTAGAATATTGAACTAAGCCTTGGTTACCCCCAGGAATAGATACAACACCTCCATTATTACCCAAGTTCTGTACTGGGTATTGATTGAATGGCTGGTTAGTAGTTCCAGTAGGTAGAAGACCCTGTCGCACAAAACCTTGTCCAATAGGTAGTTGGCCTTGATTTTGACCTCGGAATTGGTTGACAGATTCAGGTATTTGTGCACCAGAATTAACCAAATTTTGACCCGGATATTGGCCCGAAATCTGGTTTATAGGTTGATTGAAACCAGGCTGGTTATAGTTGATGGTGTTCGGTCCTTGAGGAATAACTCCAGGTTGCAAGTTGGTTCCATAAACTGGATTTTGACCTTGATTAATTCCCGGCAACTGCTGAGTATTTTGTTGCCCTTGGGTGGATCCGGAGGGAATGTTTCCTTGATCCAACAGAATTGGAAGTCCAGTAACAGGATTTATAGGTAAGTTTGCGGGATTGAAACCTTCGGTGGGTGGATAAGTCGTTGTCTGAGAGAACGCATAAGAAGTGGTCGTAGTTGGAAGACTTTCCTGTTTGTAATTGAAAGGTACTTTTGGGATCTTATCACCAAAGTTCACAGGTTCTCCATTTACTCCCAAACTTGGGCGGTGTTGTTCATGTCCTGAAATGATTTGACCTAATCCTGGATGAGTATGATGAGGAGGTTCCAGTGGAGCATCTTGGTTTCCAAGAATACCTCCAGCAAATTGAGCACCCGGTGGTGGAAGATAGGTATGGTCCAGTTTATCAGAAGACGCTAGGCCTATGGCCAGAGTAATCTGAAACAATAATGATAAGGTTTTTCTTAACAAAACATACTAAATAAGCAAATATTATAAGGAGCACTAAAAACTTTATCACCAGGTGGTGAATATTATATGTTACGCATCACAATACTGAAAAGTCACTATTAACTGTAGGTATTATAATTTGCGTATGAGCAAACTTTAACAAATATCATACACTTCATAAGTTTTTAGTTCTTTTAGAAGTACACACGGCTACATGTCGAGCTTTACATAACCAGTATAAACTGAACGTTAAATGTGCGGAAAGATGATGCGACGCGACACCAGGATAAACTGGTTTTGTATAGGTTGATGTGTGGCCATGTGTACAAACGAATAAGATCCATTTTTACACTTGAAAATCACTTTGGAGCAATTTTTCAATGCAAGCAATAAATAAAAAAAATTTTATTAAACACCTACCAAAAACCACTTCATCTCTATTGTTGTATCCTCACCAGGACTCACTTGAGATGTGTGATGATCCCAAAAAAACAAATGATATTTATACCACCCATAGACCTATAATGACTATTTAGATGTTCGTGGGTACGTGACGGACAGACGGCGTGACAATACCCTAATTGTTGCTGTCACTACATACAGACTATTAAACGTATTTATTTTATTATTACATCACTTGTCAAAATTATAGGGCCTTGGCATTTTTATAGACAACACTATAATTTGTTGGTGACAAACGTTTGCTTAAGATTATGAATGTAACTTAATAAGTCTGTTTGATTTTCAATCCTTTAAAGCTTTTCTCTTAGCATAACATCACGCCTTTTTATCCCCGAAGGGGTAGGTTGCACATTACGGCACTTAATGCCACTGTACAATTTAACACCCACTTTTCACGATTTGTGTTATGAATCCCATGTAATAGGGGGTGAGCCTATTGCCATATACCAGACACAATTCCAGACTCCGTGTTATTACTGAGATTTTTTTTTTATAAACCCTATAATAGTCGCCCGACAGTCGCACTTGCGACCACCTGTCCAACTCTCTGTTTTCTCTTAGCCTATAAAAGAAAAACAAATTAGCATTTAGCTTTACTTAACTCTGTTTCAAAGAACTATGCAAATTCTATAGTAAGGAGTTTTACAAATAAACTCTTTTGGTTTTGTTCATAACCGAATTCAGTATCTTCTTACAGGAATTTGCTCAAAAAATGTATTTGTTACCTTTAATCTTCCTTCACGTTTTTCATCTTTCAAAGACCTCTAAAATCGAATCAGTTATTTCAGCCTAAGCAAACATTCTCATTTTAAAAAATTAGTGTGGATTTGTATAGAGACTAAAGAGGTTGAATTAAATTAGGATACATACATTCATTGTGCAGATTCGCTCTCATCATGAAAATGCTTCATTATACTATGTGTAATCAATGTCTGTATTGATCACGATATAATTATTATGTATTTCATTATTTCCTAACTTTTAAAAGAAGTTATTGATACAAGTCTCAATATTATTATGGAACATAATATAATAAATTACCTCTATAATAAATACTTCTTAAATCAGACATTCACAAATGCAGGATTTAGGAAATTTTCACTAATGTTATAAAATGTGGAATGAAACTTGATAGATGACAACTAAAGTCCACAAAATTAATTGATTTTCATTTACTTAAATTTTTATATTAGACTAGCTACTTCCGCGCGGTTTCACACTCTCTGCTCAGCTCCTATTGGTCGTAGCGTGATGTTTTATAGTCTATATCCATCCTCGATAAATGCGCCAAATCGAGCCAATAGTTCCTGAGATTAGCACAATCAAACAAACAAACAAGCAAACAAATTCTTCAACTATATGTAGATAAGATGCAAGATAAAAGAAAAAGTCATTAATATATACATATTATAGGTACACGTAATTATAATCATTTGTATCTTAGTAATTAGCTATTGTTTTGAGAGACGAGTAAACTAGAAGTAGATGGTCAAACTGGTCATCAATCAAATTGCAATGATTGGTACCGTCTAGCTTAACAGCAGATATTACACTTCCAACATATGCGGTATGTATTGTGATATATTGTGATATACGAAATGTTAGAATATTTAGCGTTCATTATTCCTAGTCAAATGCAAAGCTAGTTATTATGTTTTTATTGGAAGAATTATTCAAGTTGGTTATCGACAGCCTATAAATGTCCACTGCTAAGCAAAATCACCACGTTTGCTCAATGCGGGTTGGCGATGTCAAACTTATAATTATAAATTATAAGCCCAGGTTTCCTCACGATGTTTTTATTCACCGTTTGCCAGTGGTGTCTAGATAATCTTAGAAAGTACAAATAACTCGGAAAAAGTCACATTGGTACTTGTCGTTGGTAGGTTTCGAACCTCCTCTTATCCCATTATACCTCTATAAGCGAGTGTATTAAACCTCCGGGCCACCACCACGTATTCAAGTCGTGTTATTTTTAATTTGTACTATTTAACCTTTTCTTGATTTGATATCATATTTTTTTAAACTGTTTGTACAGTAATGTAGCTACTCCCACAAAGAACGTACTTATCTTTGACTAGCTACTTCTCTGCAGCACCTACTCTGCTCAGCTCCTATTGGTCATAGTGTGATGTTTTATAGCCTTCATCGATAAATGGACTATCCAATACAAAAAGAATGATTGAAATCGGACTGGTAATTCCGAAGATTATCGCGTTCAAACAAACAAACAAACGAACGAACAAACAAACACAAAATCTTCATAAAGTAAAGATAAACGAAAGTATAAGATAAAATGTAGTATAGTATTTCCATCAATAATTCTTTCATAAACTACGTTTTAAAAACCGACTTCAACCCCTTCTTTTTTGAAATCGGTTAAATAATATACTAAAACCTTCTCCTAACGGGTAACCGGGGCTCCGGCTCGACGTGCAGGAGAAGGAACGGGGTGGTTTTTAGTCAGTAAGAGTCTGACACTCCCTCCCGCCTCACCCAGGCGAGAGGAGTCATTCGATGATTTTCCCCCCTTAAAAAAAGTGCAATAAACACTTTTCTGAAAACTTCATTAAAATAAATACATACATACATACATACATACTCACATGAAACTGAATAACCTCCTTTTTTGAAGTCGGTTAATAAATACTTGAATACGTTTTGATATGTTGTGGATGTCCATGGGCGGCGCTGACGTAGCTACATACGCTTGTCTCCTTTTCAAAAAAATATATTAGAAATAATGCTGGTCACCATCCCATGGTCATATCTATAAATGACAATATAGAACGTCACAATTAAATCTGGTATCGTGTTGGCACGGAGGTTTTAGACGCCCAATTCTCATGCATGAGGGTTCGATTCCTACACGGAACAACTCTTTGTGTGATCCACAGATTGTTGTTCCGGGTCTGGGTGTCATGTGTATGTGAACTGGTATGTTTGTAAACGCATCCACCAAGACACTATGTTTCATTAAATATTGAGCATATTTAGGTGTAAACATAGAAAATAGGTAATAAACATAGAAAGTAATGTTAACTATATAGATAGATAGTTAATAAAAGTGTATCAAGCAAGCATTAGAATAAGGATAGCCAAGTACAGTATAAAATAAATAAATAGATAAATAGAATAAGAACCATGTAATAGAATAAGTCCAAACCATAATGTAAGATAATATAAGTCAAAATATTGTATAGTATGGAAATAAACAAAATAAGCAACCTTCCTTATTACCCCAAACTAATAGAATAAATAAAAGTAAGAGAAAAGGGAAAGTAGGGAAGTGGGAGTCCCACCCGCTAAAAAAGTGAAAGACGATGTATGAAAGAAAGAAACAGTATGAAGCATAAAAGTGCGAGAGGCATACACGCGAGAACTGGAATGAACGTGAAGTTAGATTCGAATAGGCGCCAATAACGTTGGCGGAGATAGTGCATAAAAAAAAAACGCATCCACGACACAGGAGAGAATCCTATTGTGGGACAACGTTTAAAAGAAAAAATAATACTACTAACGGCAAGCACGTGTTATTGTTAATGTTACTTTGTCCAAGTTATATGTACTTTCTAAGATTATTCAGATACTACTAACAAACGGTGAAGGAAAACATCGTGAGGAAACCTGGCCTTATAATTTCTAATTATATGTTTGAAATCGCCAACCCGCATTGAGCAAGTGTGGTGGTTAATGCTCAAACCTTCTCCGTATGCTTTGCTCATCAGTGGGCATTATAGGCTGTTAATGATGAATTAAATTTGAGACTTTCCTCTCAACATACACATTCGAATATGACAGCTCAAAACCAAATACCAACTTCAACCAATCCAAGAATCGAGAACGAAACATTTTACTTATAAAATCAAACATCCGTACAAAATCTTCATCCGTCATCATTTCATTCAAGCAGTGAAAGGTCACTAGAGGTCGCTGGACACACGATCGGACATCGTTCTTTAGATAATCGTTATTGTCTTTATAATTACTCTACCGACCGTGAACTGTGAACTTGCTTTTGAGAGTGTATATAACATCTTGCATGGACTGGGACGCTATGATATGAAGTTTGATAGTCAATTATTTGTCTGTGTTAATGAATGGTGCTTTAGGTAAAATGATGATTGGTTGCGAGTTAAAAATGTATAAAATAAAGTGTTGCCAATTTTTTATTGTGTGGGAAAGCCATGCTTGCATGCATTTCATTACACGAATTGGTCAGTTCAACCGGAGTGATAGCACGGCCTCACAGAAAACCGACGTGAATCAATGCTTGCGTAGTGTTTCGTCGTGTGAGTGAGGTTACCGCAGGCTAAATTACTCCGCTCTTCAATCTCCCAAATCCCTGAATTCCCAAAAATCCTCAAATTCATAATCCTCAAAAGGCCGGTAACGCACTCGTAACGCCTCTAGAGTTCCGGGTGTCCATGGGCGGCGCCGATTGCTTACCACCAGATGATTCGTTTGCCGTTTACCGGATTATTCTGTAAAAAAATGGCTGTATATCTGTCTAGTAAATATGTGTACAAGCTATAATGTTAGGCCTTTTTTTAAGGGGGGGGAGGGGATATTGTCGAATGACTTCTCCCGCCTGGGTGAGTCGGAAGGGAATGTCAAACTCTTATTGACTAAAAAGCACCACATTCCTTTCCTGCACTTCGAGCCGGAGCCTCGATAACTCATTAGGTTCTCCGCGACAATGTTAGGCCTTTAGGTACCAAAAAAGATACACAGAGGTCGACTATACAATGTAATAACATTCATTTTTACCATGTTACTTTTGTGGTTCTATTATGAGTTACGTATGAAAGGGAATGACGCTATTCATAAAAATCGAGTACCATTCCAGCTTCATTCCGTAACCGATACAATATGTCTTACTTTACTCTGCAAATAAATTGAATCTGAGGCCTCTTCCCCGGCAGTCACACTCGCATCCACTCAATCAACGATACCGCCTAAATGCATGACGTGATAATCACGAACTTATGACTCACAGCCAAAATATGAAAGCTCAAACACATCGCTAACCAGCGCCATCTATGATTCAATTCTGAAACTAACAGACAATTACAACGACCTTCACCCCACTGACTTACTCTGCTTACATCAATGGACGCGTGATGATACCGCAACGGTAATGACTACGAATGCTCTCAAAAGATCGATGTGGTAATACTTCAATAGTTTTAGTAAAAGTAATGTTCAAGTTATAATTAAGTATGATATTGGAGTTTAAAGTTGGATAAATGCAATTTCGGGTATTGTAACTGAAATTATTGAAACTTTTTTTTATGGCATAAGCCGGTAAACGAGCAGACGGCTCACCTGATGGTAAGCAATCGGCGTCGTCCAGGGATACCTGGAACACCAGAGGTGTTACAAATGCGTTACCGGCTTTTTGGGGATTAGGAGTTTGAGGATCGTTGGGGATTCAGAAATTGAGGAGATTGGGGAAGGGGAGGGTAATTGGGCCTCCGGTAACCTCACTCACACGACGAAACGCAATGTAAGCGTTGCTTCACATAAGTTTTCTGTGAGGCCGTGGTATCACTCCGGTCGAGCCGGCCCATTCGTGTCGAAGCATGACTTTCCCACATTTCAAATCTAGCCACTGAGGACTATCGTTTTTTTATCATCAAAACCACAAATCTGGTGGTAGATACTGTTTGTCCAATCACTCAAAGTACGTGTCAAAATATTAATAAATGGTTTAATAATTACCTCTACAAATTCTTTAGAGCCAAACAGATGTTAATTGTCACTAGCACTTCTTCCGGAAAATTATGACGCTATAGATAGATCTCACAGTTATTCATCGGTTAGATATACATAGATGGTGACCGCGACGCGACTATGCCGAGCTACGTGAAATA